ATTAAGTTATATATGACTTGCTAGTTGACACGAAAGCATCACAAAAGCGGCACCTATCAGGGGCGGCTGCCAGCCCTCGAGAACGTCATTAAGTAGCTAAGACAATCGTGCCAATCATTAAAAATCTTGGGCCAGCTAGAGAGTCAAACGCTTTCGAGTGTCGCCAGTCGGCGGCACTGCATTGCGGATGCCTCTATTGCCTCCCAGCAGCCTCATCGTCATCATCTTCAGAGTCGTGGCCGCCACCACCACCATCATCATCATCATCATCATCATCATCATCTGTGCAGTTATCAACACGTACGCAGAGCCGGCTTCAGATCCCGCCAGTGAGTCCGACCTGTCCAAAGCAGCCCTAACTATGCCGTTAGACGCTGTACGCTAGACCCTAGCGCATGTTTATAGACGCCCTAGATTAGGTCTTTGTCAGCACATTTCGAGTGTGTACTGTGCGGGAGGAGGCCCAGCTCTGCTCTGGGCATATGTAGTTACAGATGAGGTTAAAATAATAGAAACTAAATTATTAAAAAATTCTTTTTCTAGGGGATTACAGCAACGCTGTTTCGTGCTTGGAAAATGTTTGAACTAAACACGAAATAGATTTAACTTTCGCATTAAATGTGATTATAATGGTCTCTATTTTGTAAAAAAAAACTATTTTTTAGGAAAGATATGATTAAGCATTTCAATTCATCTTTTAAATTTGTTTAAAATTTTAGATTTAAACATTTATTTTCGTCAAAAACATGATGTAAATATTTTAAATAATGGCTCATATTGTGAAATAATTTGTAAAAACCGTTACTTTTGGTTTTATATTTTTACTAAAGTAGAAACAACAATTATAATTAAATGAAAAATTTATAAAATTTCTTACAATTATAATTAAATGAAAAATTTATAGAATTACTCGAAACAATTAAACAAAATTCAGATTTCAATAAAAAAAAAAACTATGTTGTATAGCCCGTTAGTTTATTATCAATTTTTAAAAGACCTACACAAAATATATATTTAAATAAAAAAAGAAAATTAATAAATAAAATAAAAATATATTACAAAATATCACTTTTATTAAACCAAAATCTAAAGTTAATCTTTAATTATTTTCCTAATTTTTACTTCGCCTTCTTGGTGCTAATAACCTGACCCCAACTGTGCCTACGACTGTGTGCTCGAGTGGCGATAGCTGCGAAAAATCCAAAGCATAAGCTTTTGGCGCGAGTGGAAGTGGGAAGTGGATGTGGAAGCCACTTGAGCTGTTCTGCTCTGCTGTTCCGGCCTCTGAGTTCAGCGCCAGAGCGCCGCAGCAACAACGGCATTAACAATAACACTACAACAACAGCAAGACCAACAACAACAGCAGCGGCAACAAATACAACTGCAGGGATGGCCAAGACTGGGATGGCCAAGACAAGCAGGGGCAAAGACGAATGCGAGATGCAGCAATGACAGGAAAGACAGGACGAACAGGACAGACGAACATCTCCCTAAGCGTGGTCTTAGGCAAAGCTCGTTTTTCTTTGCGCTCAAATGGCAGCTAATTGAATTGTTTGCTTTGGCTCTGAGATCTTGGAGGAAAAAGGTAGAATTTATTGACGGGTTAATTTGGGGAATTACAAAAAAAAACACACACACAAATTATGTGAGGGGAGTAAAAGAGTCTAACATAATTAATGTAAACTAACTGGACATTAGGGAAAACATAGTTTGAAAACATACATAGTTTCAGAGAACAACTAAAACAAAAATATATATAAAATATGAGAGGATGATATTAAAATATTAAAAAAGAAAATACAATTATATTAAAGGATTTAAAAACAAACAAGAAAGGAAGCTAACTTCGGCACGCCGAAGTTTGTATACCCTTGCAGATTGGTTTTGATGTTTATATTATAGATATAAATGTTGAAAACACTCACAAAATAGAGTTTCATTACAGTTTACCTATACTTATTATGTTTACAGTTAGACAGTTACAGTTTTACATTCCCAGCTTTACATATTTAATACAATTACCGATCGCTTCTATGGCAGCAATATGATATATTTGTCCGATTTTTATGAAATTTATACCAAAATTCTAGAACAATAAAAAAAGCCTATATCTCAGGGTAGATAAAAATACGTTGAAAAACAACGAAGCAATAATTTTTTTCCTATTAATTTCCCGATCGTTCCTATGGCAGCTATATCATATAGTCGTCCGATTTTCATAAAATTTTTACCAAAATTCTGAAATAATATAAAATGGCTATATCTAAAAAATGATGGAAAAATATTGAAAAACAGCAAAGTTATAATTTTTTTTCCTAAAAATTTATCGAACATTTGTATGGCAGCTATATGATATAGTCGTCCGATCCGGCCCGTTCCGACATATATAGCAGTGAGAGCATATAGAAGACTATATGCAAAGTTTCATTCAGATAGCTTTAAAACTGAGGGACTAGTTTGCGTAGAAACGGACAGGTGGACAGACGGACAGACGGACAGACGGACAGACGGACAGACGGACATGGCTAGATCGACTCGGCTGTTGATGCTGATCAAGAATATATATACTTTATAGGGTCGGAAACGTCTCCTTCACTGCGTTGCAAACTTCTGACTGAAATTATAATACCCTGCAAGGGTATAAAAATAAAATTATCTGGGAAAGTCTTATTTATTTAAGTATACTTAAATATATATATTTCTTCAATGGAATGCCATTTAAATTCTGTGACTCTTGTTTTTTTATACATAAGTTAACAAATCCAAGTCATACAAAATATTTTCAAGAGGGAAGTGTCTTCATTTTGTGACTGTTTCTATGTATAAATAAAATTTCATATTTATTAATACTTAATACTAAGAACATAAAAAAAAAACTAGTGATACATCAAACAGGGAAAATATAAGATATTCTAATAAAACCTCCAATAAATTCCCGTTCTTCATTGATGAATTTCCCTGTAATTTCTTTTATTTAGTGAAATTTTTTGGTAAATCAGAAAAACAACCGCCTATCTTGGAACTAACACTGGGGTTATCATTAAATCGCATTTATTGACTTTTTCTTAGTAACTATAAAATACAAATTAAATTAACTTAATTTTAAAACACTTCAATAAGTAACAGAGAATGAGATTGAATTCATTAAATTAATTTAAATTGTATTTATTATTTAATTTACATACAGCTTGCTTATAAAATTTTTAACTAAACCTACAGGTAAGAGGCAAAACTATTACTACCTAGGCTTGATTTTATATATTTATAAATTCCCTTTAATGCTCTTTCCTCAATGCATTTTCATTGTAATTTCTTGGATTATGACCTACCAAATTTAACTCATCCAAATTTAAATGAAATAAACTCTCACCTATTTGCCAAAGATGTAAAAGACCATTAAATCCCCTGGACCATTGCTTTTTGATTGACTCACGTGCCACTCATTGGCCCCCTTCTGCCCATCTTCCCAGCTGCAATTTCCATTCCAATTGACTTTTGCTTCGTCTCGAATTCCGCCAAAGACAATTTTTTATGCGAGCAGGAAGAGCGGGAGGTGAGACGGATTCGGTTGTTTTTGGTGGCCCGCCGTGAGTTCTTTTAGACCCTTTGGCTTTTGCCTAATTTACCAGCTCCATGGGGCCAACTGGCGGCGGCTGCCAAGAAGCGAAAATAAAAATTAAAAAAGAAATAAGACACACACAAAAACAGACACATTGGACACTGAAATGGCAAAAGATAACAAAAGAGCCGGGCAAAAAAAAAACACACACACTCTCAGAGAGAGGGAGAGGGAGAGGGGGCGGGAGATGGTATTGAAGAAGCCATTTGAAAATTTGAAAATTTTTTGGCACAGGTACAGGAAAACCGCCCCCGCCCCCCCCACAGAAAGAGGGAAGCATTGAGAAAGGCTAAAATAAAGAGACAAACCAAAGACCGCATTGACTCTTCAACTATATGGGCGAGTGTGCGGTCTGTGTGTGCGATCGTGTGTGTGTGTGTATGTGGGTATGCGCTATAGGTTATAATATGTTAGCGTAATGCCGAGTGGCACTCTGATGATGGGCGGAGCCAACAAATTCGCTAAACAAAAACACAAAGCGGCGATATATATGTATGTACGTGCCATATATGCTATATGGATGTACGGTCGTATAGGCACTGCGGATACTACATATAAGGGCTTCGGCTGCTCCCAAAAGGCAAAAGCGCATCTTGCCAGACACTCCTGCAATCTCTGCTGTGCAGACCTTCTTTTTTTTCGAGTGCCATCCAAATTCGGTTAATATGAATGCCGCCGACAAGCTCTGGGTTCTTGCCTTTTGATTAGCCTAATGAAACTATGCGGCATGGAATGGGGGCAATCTAAGACCCGCAGTATCTCTAAAAGTCGGTACATCCCGCAATTGAGACAACGTCAAATTCAAATTCGAAGAAAAGGGAGCAAATCTCAAGCATTTGATCAATTACAATTTCCAATTTAAACAAAAGCAAACGATGCCTGCAGAAAACACAAACTGGAACCAAATCAATTCGTATGGCAATTCAAATTGAGATACAAAATTGAGTTACAAACAAATGTATGTATATATATTCTACAGACGTTGAGAAATTCACTTTACACAGCAGCAGGCAGCAGAGATTGCAATTTATATATTGGTTTCCTTCCAGCCTCAAAATAAATCAACGGGAGATAAGAAAGCAAAATAAAAGGAAAATTTACAATTCAAAACATGGATATAAATACTCTGAAAGTTAAAAAAGTAGCTATATCTATGATTATGGTTAGTTAATTTGATTTCCCCTTAAGTATTCCATAAAATTTGTATAACTTTATTTTTATTCACTTTTCATATTTGTTCTTAACACTTCCTGCTGCTCTATTAGCAAAGGATTGCTATATATATTATTCCCTGCTAATTGACCTCCTTTATTATTAAGACCAAGTCAATTTTTCGTTCGCACACCTTCACTAATTTTCACTTAACTCGTTTTTCACTCACCTGGACTTGTCTGCCAACTGAGGCCGCCAATGAACATTTTTCTGCAACGAAACAGAAGGGGAAGTATAAGATAAATGAGGCATTAGCTCTATATATATATACATATCTGATGTGTATGCTAGAGAGGAGGAAGAGGAGCAGTAGGAGGGAAAAAATTAGATAAATGTTATGGCCAGGGCGGAGAACAACAAACAAACAGCGGAGCTGAGCGATCTTTTATCAGAGTTACCAGCGTCCAGACACTTCCTCTACCTCGGTAAAGGTGGCTTCCATTGTGGTAGGTCTGCTTAACTTCCATTCTACCAACCATCATCATCATTATCATCATTATCATTGTGGCCGTTATTATTATCTCAATCATCATCATCAGCTAAGGCAGCACTTGCAGTTCCAGTTGTGGTGGCCGCCGTCGCTGCTGCTGCCTGTTGTCTGCCTACCGTCTTCATCATTATTTAAATCATAGAAAATAAGCCGCTTTCCCGGCATTGTTTTCATGCTGGAAATCTCACCCACTCACTCCCAGGTTATCCCCGTCTCGCCTTTCCCCCCCTGCTCTTAGCCATTTTCCAGCCAGCCACTGCAACGGCTTATATAACACGAGAGAAAAAGATAGTAGCTTTTGCGTTAATTAGAAGGCAATGAAAATGCCCTTAAAAATTCAATTTATTTATATACAAAATTAATAGAAGTATGAATAAGATTTATACGACTTCCAGAATAATATTTAAACTGGGTTTTACTATGTATATACATATATATATATTCCAGATTCTTGTGCTTTCTTAAGATTTCAACAAACGTTAATAGATCTATTACTACACAAAATCTTTTAATCAATTTACTTAATTTTTATATTCTACAAATTAAATGCTTTTTCACTTATTCAACCAACTATTTGTATTAAAAGGATAAAAGCACTTACCAAGAACCTCTCAAAATAATGAAGAAAACAAATTAATTAAGCGATCTAATCATATTAAATCATTCTCAAAAGCAAACTTTCAAACTTGCTCCTTCTCTCGAAGACAAGCTAAGCGCCAAATGGAAATAGGCTTTTCCCCAGGGAAAGCGTATGGAAAACAAAAGGCAAAGGCTGTGCCCGAAACGAAAGTAGGCGGCGGCACGGCTATAGGAAAAGCAGTAGCAACGACGACAATGATTATGAAAACTTCAACAAACTGCAAAAGAGCGCAACAGTGGCATAAAAGGGAAGTGGACCGGGCCAAGAGGGGGTTAGGGTTGGGGTTGGGGTTGGGTTTTGGGTTCCTGGTGGGCCGCCCCACGCCTATAGGCGGTGGTTTGTAGAGGGGCGTGGCGAAATGCAGTTGGCGACACGAAAACGAATGTAAAACACACACAAAAATGCATAGAAACACAAATTGCAATGAAAGGCAGAAAAAAAAAGAGAGCAAAAGAGAGAGCAAACAACTAAATGAAAATGTTAATAAAATGTGCAACAACAAAAGCGTAAAGTAAGCTAAAAGAAAAACTAAACCAAAGAACGGAAGAAGCGTCAGCAACAGCGGGTTATAGGTGGGCGGTGGGAAATGTTGCAGAAGAGGGGGTGGGGGTTGTCAAGGGGGCTTTTCCGGGGCGAAGGTAAGCCAACATTCCGCCCTGAGCCCAGCACAGTTCCGATGAAAATAGGCCTCGAATTGCAGCTCGTCAGGAAAGCCGAAACTTTATTTTTTTGGACTATAGACGACGGCAAACAATTTGTCATTAATCAATGTTTGGAATTTTCCAGTTGCTTCGCCTGGCTTCGATTTGGGCCTCTGTCTCTCTATCTGTATCTCTCATGCAAATAATCAATCTTCATGGAAAAGTGGAGAGAAAAATAACTGATAAATGGCAAAGAAATTTGTTAAAGGCAAGTGCTTTGCAGGTTCTTTTGAAGAGGAATGTATTTTGAAAGTTTTTTGAAACGATTAAATTCTAAATTTGCAATGAAAATTATATAAAGAAGAGAAGATATATAAACAAAGTTTTTTAATTTTAGATTTCTCAGAAGATTTATTCAAAAGTTTAGATTAAGTGCTTCCTAATTACTTTGAAAAATAAGAACTATGAGAGCTTTCATCGAATGTATTGATTATTCTTAAGTTTTTCCTTCTTAAATATATTTGTAATCTCTAAAATAAATACATAAAATAAGTTCTGAAACCTATTTAAGTTTTTTACTCATTTAAAACTAATAAAAATAATGCCACAACCCCATTTCATTGGAACTTAGAGCTCAAATTCGATTTCATTGCTGAGATCATCCATCACATTTTGGTTTTTACTTTGTCAACCGTGGTTTTTCCGCCACTGAAACACCCCTCTTGATGACGCTCCTCCTCCCCCAAGGATGACGCCGCCGTCTGACTGACTGATCCGTAAATATTTGTATTCATTTCATAATAATAATTCAGCAAACGCTGGCAACATTGTCTGTGGGCATGGGACGCACTGCAGGTGACCTTCGGTCGGCGCAGCATGACAGAGAGAGTCAGCAACCCCCTAGAAATCACCCCTCCTGCCCATACACCTCTGGCCAATTGCAAGTGCACCGAATAAATGCGACCTTGTTCCACACTGCGAATCTGTGGACGGAGCTCTCTCTAGCTTTGCATTGCTGTGTCCAGCTGTGTGACGATGCGTAATTGCAAAAAACAAAATAGAAAACAGAAAAAAAACAAAATTGTAGTAAAAAACAAAAATAAAACAAATCACTAAGGGTGGCGGGGGTAAAGTGTCAAAGTCAACGCAGTAAATACAGTTTAAAGAGTTCAACTGGTAGCTTATGTGTGTGTGTGTGTGTAAATTGCACAAGATTACGCATACGCAGTGGTGTCCCTCGTCAATTGTTTTATGTTCCTTGGGCTTGGTTCATTCATTCTCCCGCGGGTGCCAACTTTGATGACATTTGCCTTTGTAGTCAATCCATGCCAGAGATCCTCTATATATGTATGTACATATATATATGTATATTCCCATATCCCCAGGCTTTGCAGTTTTCGCAGCTATTTACAGATTTCCCACAAGTTCGCTTTCCCCCTGTCAGACAATTCATTCTTGGTGGGCGGGGTAAGCTTTGGGTGTGTGTGTGTGACCGAGGGAGTGTGCTAAGCTCACAGTCATAAACAAGTCAACGCAACATGTCCGATTAGTAAGTGCAACCACCGACTGGCATTCGTCACCCAGTGCCTAAGCCTAAGATGCAACTCTAATCTGCACTCTGAGAAATAGATCTGTGTGCATATCCTTGACAGGAATACTATAATGGGAATGAATTGCGAGATTTTCGGGAAGATACGTCTTGGAATTAGCCACTTAAATGCTGAAGATTTTATCTATTTTGAAGGGGATTAAAAAATGCTTGAAATTGATGGAAAACTAGAAAGTAGCCAACACTTATTCGTTGTTTTATTTTTAAGCTAATGTATAATAGAAATTTGCAAACAAATTATTTGAATTTCGTAAAATAAAATAACTACAACTTAAGAAAAATCAATTACTATTAGATTTAGGAGTTTTGTTTGGGAATTGTAAATTATAAAAATTTTAAGAAATTATCAAAAAATAATTGAATATCAATTTAAGAGAGATAAAAGTGTTTCTGCTTAACAAAACGTTTTTTTTTTAATAAACATAATTATAATTAATTAACAGAAGAGTAAAACTGTTGTAGCTTGCACCTTTATTATAAAAACTAAAAATAAATAAGGTTACATTACATATTGAAACCAATTTAAAATCTCTTGTTTCATCTGCACTTTAAGAAATAAATATAAATTGACTTTACTTCAACCAAGTCTTGTGGCAAAATCATTACAAGTTTCCTTCAATAATTCTTAGATATAAATGTATATAATCTCTGCAAAAAAAGTCTCTTTTTTATTAATACCAAGCTCTATGAAAGAAGCCCTATTTTTTGAGTGTAGAGAGCTTCTATTGGCGCTTTTTGTTCGCTGCTCTGCTCAGCTCGGTCACATTTGCTTGCATTACGAAATAATTGTAAAGCGCACGTCACTTTTCTATAGGCCTTCGTCTGTCTATCCGCTCGCTCTCTCCATATAGCCATCCCCCTGCCTCTTTTTCTCCTTAGATCCCTCCAAACAGCCTAGTGTCCCCATGCCCCGTAAGTATCCACCACTTGGGCCATTCATGCGCAAGTCGTCAGCGCCCATTCACGGTCTGTCCCAGTCACACACTCAGCGAAAAAGTGCCCTCGAAAATCATGATTAGGGGCGCTTGATTGGCGTCAGTTTGGGATCTTGACAATGTACATTGTGAAAAATATTTATATAATACTAAGTAAAGAAAATAAATGTTGAGGGATGTCTGAGGATTTGATTAGCTGAACATGAATTTTTAAAGAAAATGTAAAGCAAATTTTCTGTCAGTAAGTCTTAGACATAAAAATAAAGTATTTAATTAATTAAACCAAAAAATATATTAATAATTAATTAAAAAGGTTTCTAAAAATGAACAGAAAGTTCATTAATATTAGGGTATTTGTTCGATCTTTTTGAAACTTCTTTGAATTTTTTTAACTTTTTTATCTAATTTTCTTCGAGTGTCCGTCCCAGTTGAAGACCCGTACACGGAGCCGCTTCCCGGACCCGGCTTGGATAGCTGGCTTTGGCTTTACCCTGGTTTGGGCTTTATGTTTTGGCGCCCAACGCTGCCGCTGTCGCTGTTGCAGTCGCTGTCTCTGCCCTGGCTCTGCCTCTGTCGCAGTTTGGCGCTTGTTTGCCATTCAAAATCCGTTCAGACTTTGTGTGCACATCATGTGTTGCCCTCTCGCTCTGGCATTACATTTGCATATAGTACTATCTTTGTCGGCCTTTCTTCTGCCGCCTTTCCCGCCGGGCGTCCCCTCTCCACCACTCACTGTGCACTAGTTGACGTTTTCTATTGTGGCTTCATTGTTGAATAGAAAAAATGTGCAAAATAGTAACAAAAAAAAAAAAGAATGAAAAAAAAAAGAAAATAGCAAAACATCTACCCCTGCTCGTCTTTCATCCTCCCCCGCGCCCTTTCCCTTCGCTTTCCT